ATATGCAACTGTTTTGGTCACTCGTTTAAGCAACTATTTTGGTCACAGTCTTGAGCCTTGAAATTAATTTTTGAGTGAATGTACAGAATTTACTGTGCAGCTAAGAGTCTTGTCAAAACATGTCTTATTGTGAAACTGGTCCGTAGCGCAAAACAGATTGGAGACCACTGCCGTAGAGAACTGTGCCAAATTAGCTCATCACGCGGTCTTCATTTCATTTCATTTGAACAACTGAAAAACGGCAAGCAGCAAACGACACGACTTTAAGTCTCTAAGTTTATCCAGTGTGGTAAGTGGGTCAGGAATAAAAATGAGCAGCAATGAACAGCATCTGGTGCTCCTTTGAGAACAAGGTCAAAATAGTTTTGAGCACTCCTCACGATGCCCATGCATTCCTCATTTGACATTTGAGGCTTTTCTGTGATGAAGGGTGATATAAATCAATTTGACTTGACAATGCACTGACTTTGCCATGTTGAACATACACTAAATAAGATCAAGATAACCCCTGTCTTCATGGAACAGTGTGAGCTGAATTTGAATGTTTAAACTTGAATGGAAAAAGTCATGTTGATGATTTCTTTGAGACGTGCAGTCGTCATTAGATCACGGTTTTCTGTATTACATTCCAACAAGGTTGAGTGAGGAAAAGAGCTTTCGTGGACGACAACTGCATTAGGTTGCACAGCCCCATATTGTTGCTCACCATGTCGAGAGTATAGAGGCCAGCAAAGGTGGCCCTCACTTGCTCCACGACTTGCGGCTGATCGGGGAAGAAATGCTCCAGAACACCGGGCTTAGCAAGCACCTGCTGGATCTTCTTTGTTCCAGCCAGGTGGGTGCTGATATCCGGACATTTCACAGCCAAAGAGCACTCCATCATCAGGCGGGCATCCCAGGCCTAGAAATAAAGAAATGCAGCTGGTAAAAGTGAAACCTGTGTGGTTAATCTTTAATGATGAGAAAATGACTTCAGGTTTGCTTTACTTTGGGAAGCAAACTCCACAAAGGGAGGCCAGAGCCGGAATCCAACCCTGCACCTCTGCACTGTGAGGCCGACGTGCTAACCAGTCGACCGCCGTGCCGCTTAGCTGCACCTTTAGATTAGTTGAACTGCATGTTGGCCGAGTTGAATGCCGCTTCCTCTGTTTGTCCTTCCCGCTCCTCCCTGATGTTAAAGAAAATGCCCCTCGGTCCGACAGAACGCCCAGCGAGGTGCAGCGCGGTTTGACGAATTCTCAAACATGATAACGACAATTTTTACGCTGAGCGCATGGGTGCGCACTCACCGTGCCCTGCCTGATGAGTGACTGCTGCGGACGTACCGACGGCGCCTGCTTCATTCTTACAGTACATAAGCACATGCCTGCCCTTGAATGGCAAGAGGGTGAAAGTGACGAAAAGTGTCTTTCACAGTTATTATATGGATTTTGGAGGCTTCCAGAAACACGTCCTTTCTCGTGTTAAAAGTTCTGTCATGTTCTATCTTGATTGTGCTCCAGCACCAGCTGGAGTGAAGGGCGTTTCCCTCCAGCAGGTGCACCTGTGCCTCGTTACTCTATCAAGCTTGGTTGTGTATTTTAAGGACACCGTCATGCTTCAAGTATTATTTTCTAGACCTGTTGATACAATTCATAGGCACTTTCATTTGTTTACAGATTTTTGTTTGGAAGTATTTTGTTTAATGTTATTTTACTATTGCTCTTGATTTTTTTTCTGTGTTTTTGTATTTTGGATATTTTATTTTGTGGATACTGCTTTTGGTTCCACGCATTGTTTACTCCTGGCTCCTTATGACCAGCGATTTTAGTTCATACTTTGTCCGTGCGATTTTTCTTGAATAAATATTTTCGTCATCCCACCTTGTCTGAGCCTGCATATTTGGAATCTGAAAACATTTCCCGGTTCAGTGTGACGCGAACAAGTTCATCATTGTCCCTGCGTATGATTAAAAATTTTTGTGGTTTACCTTCAAGTAATTACCTTTTCAGACTTGTAGTTCTGAGGCATATAGCCGTACCTGAAGTACACGACTGCAACTTCTTGACAATTACTGAATTTGTGGTAGGACAGAAATGTATCAAAACAAGTCAAAACACAGTCGACGCAGGTCTTCATGTTGGCTATGAATGGACGGAAGACACTTACACAAACAGTCTCTTGTCCTTGTCAAGGTTTCCAGATGCGGAGACATCTTCAAAACGCTTTCGTATGGTGGCAATATTCCTGGAACACATTGATCACTGCGAGATTATCATGAAATGAAAAATGGTCAGTGAACCAAGAATGCATTTTGCAGCAATGCTGCAAGGGTTTCATTCATTTCATTTCATTTCATCAAGGTTGCGCATGATACTGTGAAGGTCTTACGTAATCACACTTTACCTTTTCCACAGCTCATTCTCAACTACTCGTTGATCCATGATATTGATCTCATTCTCCGCCACCAGGAACATGACAACCGCTCTTTAATGACAAGAGGGCCCCTATTAAACACTATGCCACTACATAAACCCATTCTACATGAGGAGGAAATTAAGTGTTCTTTATAAACCTTTTATTAGACAATGAAGAGTTGTTTAAGAAGATTTTCAGTGGACATACCGCCTTGATCCGTAGAGCTCCCAAGCCTTGGCCAAAGCCTTGGCCAGACCTTCCGCAGGGTTGTTATCAATGATGCGCTGGCTCTCTTCCAGCTGTCCAGTGACCTTGAGGATGTGTCTGTTTTAGCAACACAAACAAAATTGTTGTCAAGATTAACAGAAATTTAAAAAGGAAGATTAATGTTAGAAACAGAGTGCAAATTGTGAGGTCAAAAGAAAATTAAAAAAAAAAAAAAAACATCTTCAAATAATCACAATAAGCACAAGCCATTTTCAAAGCAGCTTTTTAACACGAAAAATAAGCAATGCACTGAAGAAAATGAAAATAAACACTTGTATTGGTGTTTATGTACTCTTTATTCATCCAGTACGTTTGCTTTGTTTCACAACGGGGTGAGCAATGGGCCATTCCGCCCGGTGCTTGGTTTGAGTTTTTTAGTTCAGTTTGGCTCCGGGGGCGACTCGCTGAGTTCGGAAACCAAAATATAAGCACGTCGAGCGGCCACTTCGGCCGAGGCGCGGGACTCCAGCCTTGCGCCGGCATTCGGGCGGGTGGTTTCCAGATTGCCGCTGGGCCACCCGCCGTTGCCCGCCAGGACTACTCCCTGCCCTGCATGCGTTTTGCGTGTTTCAAAGACGAAGCCATGCAACGGCTCATAATATAAACTTCCAAACCTTCCAAGCCTGTGTGTTAGCGCAGGACAACTTCTCCCCATCTGACATCATGATAGTTGGAACAAGCAATCCTGGCACTTAATAGGGATCTATAATATTAACCTTTCCAGCATGCCCATGTATCACATTTTGTCATTTTCATCAAAGTAAGATGTGAATTCACATCCGCGGAATGTTGGCTTATAAGCACTAATTTTATCACTGCTCTCCATTGTGAATCCTACGCCTGCTTCTGCTACTATCCTGCCAGCATGGCTGTGCAAACAAATGGAGACAATAGAAAGAAGGTTTACAATAAAATGCTGAATTTAGGATTGAAAGATTCATTGCCAACAGGGGTGGCAAAGAATTTGGTTGAGGTGGCAAGTGCCACTCCTTGCCACCCTGGAAAACCGCCTATGGGCGACATCAGTGGCCCATTTTTCGATGGTCCTTTTTGCTCAGATTCTCAAGGGCTTTTGGATATTTTAATCCAAAAGCCTTATTTGCACATATTTCAGTATTTTGAGGTTACATTTTGTCAACTACTTTGTACGTTACCGGTGTACATCAGTCATCCGTGCGGCGGCACCTCCAGCACCAGCAGAAATGGTGTTGATTTCGATCTGTTTCAGAGAGGTGTGTCCATCCTTCTGGTCCCACATGTAGTCTGATCGATTTAAGCCCAACACAATCGACTGGAAAGAGGGCAAGAATACAAAATGAGAGATGGATACTTTTATGAAGACATTGTCTGCATTGTGACCTATAACATGAAGCTTGTTTGTCCTATTTCATATACAGTGGTACCTCTATTTACGAATGTCTCTTCATACGAAATTTTCAAGTTAGGAAACGCCTCAATTGGAAAATATTGCCTCTTGTTACGAAAGAAATTTCAAGATACGAAAGGTAAAAATACAGTCTGCCATGCTAGTCGCAGCTCCGAGTTTCTTGAACGCAACATACTTATATCTGCTCTGCCATTGGCTATTACCCAGCATCTTCCTGGCATCCCATTGGCTAAGAGGGATCTCTATCGAATGTGTCTGTGTGTGTAGATAGATAAAGATAGTGATAGATCGGTGCCAATGCAGCGTCCTCGTCATTCGCCCCTCGGGCCATGAGGCGTTACGATAGTTTTATGTAAATGGGAATCACCCAGAAAAAGTATTCACTAGTCGGGCAATGGCTCACTATGCTGATGTTTGCCGAGGACATTTTCGAAGGATTGTTAAAAGCCAACAAAAGAGAACGTCCTTGAATCGGTTCGTGACAAACGCCGGGCAAAAACCACTTCTGAGGGAGAACATGAACTAAAGAGGGCAAAAAACGATGAGGACACAGTTAAAAGTTAAATCCAACCAGCCATCCATTTACAGCCGGTGCGACTGCAGCGTTTATTCGAGACTTGCGTTTGTTTGACAGGTCAGATTGTTACACATCACCTGACTCAGTAACTACAATATCCATTTTTTTGATCCGCTTTATCCTCACAAGGGTCGTGGGGATTGCTGGAGCCTATCCCAGCCGTCTTCGGGCAGTAGGCGGGGAATACCCTGAACCGGTTGCCAGCCAATCACAGGGCACACAGAGACGAACAACCATCCACGCTCACACTCACATTTAGCGACAATTTAGAGTGTTCAATCAGCCTGCCATGCATGTTTTTGGAATGTGGGAGGAAGCCAGAGTACCCGGAGAAAACCCACGCAGGCCCGGGGAGAACATGCAAACTCCACACAGGGAGGCCAAAGCTGGAATTGAACCCGGTACCTCTGCACTGTGAGGTTGACGTGCTAATCACTGGACCACCGGCCCGCCCTAAAAGTTAAATGACCATCATTTTTATTCTTTACTCTATTCATTGTTTTATTACATTATGCACAACTCTCATTTATTGTGCAATAATCTAATTGGGGTAACGTATTTGTTTCATATTTTGATGCATTTTTATGCTTGAGAAAACATTTGTCTGAATTTGGGGCGGGGGGCTTGGAACGGATTTGGGCATTTACATGGAAAACGCCGTCTCCACTTACAAAATTTTCAAGTTAAAGAATGTCTTCCAGAATATATTAATATTTTGTTTTAATTATTACACTACTAGATTTGGATGACATTCTTTAGTCTGAACTACGATGGACAATTAAGTGAGAGTTGTGATATGATGAGTTGCTGGCTTTTTTTCTGTTCTTCTTTATGACTAAGCCACAGAGCACTATGTTCCCTGGATGCATGCTTAGCTCGCCAAGAAACAGGTTTATACACGTGGAATTACGTACCTGCGACCTTCCCTCTTTGAGGACATGTTGGTGTATCTTGAACAACTTTGCAGTGAAATCGTCCACAGTAATGGTGCTGCAACATGAAAATTTGTGAAAATAAAAGGTGTTACATTTTGCAACAAAGATGTCAAAATAATGTCTATTTTAGAGAAGGTTTGTCGAAATCCTCGGTGCCAAACTCAAGTCCTGGGGGCATGATCTGGCCCACCACATCATTTTATGTGGCCCGCGAAAGCAAATCAAACACGTCGACTTCTATGATGCTTGCTAAAATTTGGAACAAAATTTCAAATTCTCATATGTAATACATAAGAGAGCTATTGTAAGTTTTCTTGTTACGAAAACCCTCATTGCAGTAACCTAAACTCTAGTTGAGTAAACCAATATTCTTGACTTCTTTCAATGGTTTTGCAGCCATAAAGGGAAATGGTAACTTTAATGTGGCCCGCGACAAAAATGAGCTAGCCAGCCGTGGTCTAAATCAACATATTTTCTCCCCCCCCCCCCCCCCCCGTTTACTTCATTATGACTCTATTCAGCTATGATGTGTGATTAGACCCCAATATGAAGTCGGCATCGCACCTGGCAAGCGCCTCTTGCAGGAAATCGGGATCCTGGCTGATCTTATCCACCAGTATGTTGAAGTGAATTTGCACTTCCATGGCTTGGAGGAAAATAGCTTTTGGCATTGGCGTGGGGAAGAGCGTGATGGGAGCATATGTCACCTCCTAAAATACAAAGAACACGAATGATTTACTGTGAAATTTTTGGATTGAAATGTGAACCCACAACTTGCTCTGCTGGCCCTCCCTCCTTCCTTCGACAAAAATTTGTATCCATAAAAACTATTTTCCAAAAGACGGGAAACTCTCACCTCTGACGAGTTGGGGGATTCTTTCAGTCTTATAAGGAAACCCTGCAGAAGTGCTGAGTCTTTTGCCTCTTCTGCCAGCTCATTTATTAGGGTGGTGTTCATCAGTAAATCATTTCGTCTTCCCTCGGCCATTCTGATTGGATTGATATTTAAGATATGTGAAACACAGTCAAATTGAATGGAAATATACAATAAAAACAAGTCCAGTTGATCTCGTCCTGTCATTCATCAATCAGAACATTAAATTGTCAACCTTGATTTTGAGATCCATTTTATCATTCACTTCGCTCTGGTTTTTAAATAGCTGCATAAAGCACACATTCCTCAATACAATATGGACAAAAATGGTATCTGCAATACATCTGTATTCATTTTGCACTTTCACAACAATGATCTATGCATGCAGTGTCATGAAAATACTGAAAAACCTTTTTTCATGCTATCTGGGAATGCAGACCGGTTCAATAATCACAATCAAGAAAACCATTTTGTTCATCACTCATTCATTCCAATCAAAGGTTACATTCGTTTCGAAAAAAAAAATATTGACAAAATGAAATAATCAACTACATCATTGGGTTGAAAGCTGCTTACCTTTGAACAGTCTGCTGGACTTAGATCTTTGATTCCTTTTTGCCTGTGGAAAATGCCACTGTCAAGTTTATAATATAAATTGACAAATATGCACTCACAAAAAGGAAGAGAGGAGACGTCTCTTTGCTGTTTTTGTTTGCGAGGAGCCTAGGAAGAAGGATGCGCCCATTTCTCTCAGCTGTCCTAAAGCAACCCCTCCCTAAGCCCTCTCTTTTTATCTGCTCTTGAGGTTCCTAGGTTACATGAAGGTGAGGCCACTCAAGGGAAGTTTGGGGCCTCAGTAAACTGGCCACATCCTAGCTTTTACTCCAAAGTACATGATATTGAAATTTTCATCACATCCTCAGCAAGTGCATAAGCCTTATAAACACTTTTAATACGTCGAAGCACTTTTGATACGTCAATTCAGCACATCTTGAGAAATGCAGAAGGGTCGCCCTGGGTCGGTTTCCTGTTATCTGATCGTCAACTGTCAACTGTAGGCTCCTTGGAGCCATGTAGAGTTGAGCACGTTTCGCACAGTAATATAAATACTGAATTAAACATAATAAATCATATTGAAAACAACTGTTTCTAAAATTTCCTCCATCAGCCACCTGGGTCTTTTCTCCTCCCATATGTTGTGGGTGGGGCGGATGCCTGGCCGAACCTCCTCGTGCACCCAGTTGGCGGATCTGCTCATTGGTGCTGGGGCTTTCTATCGTTCCTTGTGCACTGTGCCACAGTTGACCCTCCCTCTGTCACGGGGGTGCATGGGGGTCCCAGCTGGCCTTGGGGGTCTGCTGCGTCCTTAAGCACCTCCTGGGCTGGGTACCTCCCAGGCTATGGGTATCAGGTGAGGGTGGATGGAAAGATCTTGAGAGGGGTTGGGTGGTGGTGGAGCACTGCTGAGGTCATGCCACTTGATGTGCACGACCTGCACAACATTCACACTAAAAAATTTTCACAAGTCACTTCTGGGCACATGCAGATACTCAATGTTTCTTGAAGGTCTGGTGCGGGGCGGTGGTGTATGAGCAACGGACCATGATTCAGCACCTCCGTGCTGTGGAGGGCTCTGGGGCAGCAGTGCTTGGTAGCGCACCCACCCTCCCACCCCCAACCTGACGGAGGAATTTCGGGAAAGGATGATTTATTATGTTTGATTCTGTTTTTCATTGCTGTGGTTTTATTTACAAAATATTAATAGAAATGAAATGTTTGCTTTGCAAGTGTTGATGTGTGTTTAGGGTTATGAAACAAGAGAAGCGAAACGTGCTCAACTTTACATGGGCCGAGGAGATGACCAGATAAGAGGAAATCAACGGGAGTCGACCCTTCTGTATTTCTCAAGATATGCCGAATTGGTGTATTAAAAGTGCTTTGAGGTGTAAAAAGTGATTATCAGGCTTATGCACATGCTGAGGATGTGATGAAAATTTCAATATTGTGTACTTTGGAGTGAAAGTCAGGGCGGGGCCAGTTTGCTGTGACCCCAAACTTCCCCTTAGTGGCCTCACCTTCATGTAACTCAGGGACCTCAAGAAGCAGATAAAAAGAGAGGGCATAGGGAGGGGCTGTTTTAGACAGCTGAGAGAATTGTGAGCAGCGTCCTTTCTATTTCCTCGCAAGCAAAAACAAAGAGACGTCTCTCTCTTCCTTTCTGGAAGTGTATATTTGTCAAATCATCTTATAAACCTGACACAACCCCATCCTCACAAGCCTTTTCAGATTTTAATGCCCAACATTGCACAGTGTCAGATGAACACAGCGGATGGCCAACTGCAAGATCTTTCCTTGCGGATGGTGTCGTCACCCGTGCATGTCATTTGGGCAATTGGAGACCGCCTCAGGCCAACGACAGTGCGTCCACGTGTGACCCATCTCCAACTACTAGTTGTGCCGCACAGTCAAGATGGTGCGAGGAAGGTGATAATGATCAGAATTTGCTCAGCAAATTGATTTCTACAATGATTCAGAGGAATTGTCCCACGTTGTTGTCATATTTAAGAATGAAATACATTTTTAGGGACTCGAAAATGTTGTCTTGCTTTTGTCACCAAATTGCAAGATGCGCCGGCAGCCGTGTCACCCGGAATGCCCAGCGAGGCATAGCGCATCCACCAATTTCACAGCACCGTGTGATGCCTCTAGAAAATGGCTGGATGGAGGGAAATCTGGCCTACCTTGCTTAGCCCGCTGCCTTCGCCACCCGGACCTCGGATAAACAGCAGCTGTACAGATTCGTTTAGTCATGGTAACTAAGCACCTGAGCCACACGCTTGAGGTAATGGGTACAGTGGTCAATTGTGCCCTGAGAGTGGCTGGTGAGGATTCCAGGATGCACCATACCTCTTGCCCAAAGTCAGCCAAGATCCAGCCCAGCCACCACCCAAATGGTGGAGACGTACGATGGAAAATATGCTCACCCATAGCTGTCCCTCATACGTTAAATGCGTTGGTAATAAAGTGACAATAAATAAATAAAAACATAAATAGTTCATTTGTCAATTTACAAGACCAAAAAGGAGCTGTGATTTGTTGAGCTCATGGACATGTCAAGAAAAATAGCTTTGCTTTTACTCCCACCTAGTGAACTATTTGCAAAACTACAAGCTACAAGGTTTCAAGTCCTCAAGGCTACGTTACGTCATCGATTCAAAACATGTTTCGCCAATGAAATTCCGTCCCTGCATAATTGTTAAAAACTAAGTAGAAGTCAATAAAAGTTTAGAGTTTCCAAGTCTTCGGAAGGAGTTTATCAATATAGCACATCTAGACTTGGGAATATGTACTCTTTAACCACAAAGTCCTTCAAACCTGTTAGAAAGTAAGGGCACCACTTGGAGACAACACTCCTCGAGGAATGCTCCAGATTTTAATTGGATTCAGGTCTGAGTTCTGGCATGCCAAAGTGACATTATTTGGTCAGTTATTTCTCTTCTCCAAGTCCTGAAATAATTAAGACACATCTGTTACATTTAGTCACGTGTGTGTGTGTGTGTGTGTGTGTGTGTGTGTGTGTGTGTGTGTGTGTGTGTGTGTGTGTGTGTGAGTACAAAGAAGTGAATAGTTACAGCAGAAGAAATAGAAGAATCTCGGCTGTCATTTGGCTTGTGTGGCAAATATGTTACATTCCGCGCATGGTGGAAGATGGTTGGAAGAGCTGCACCCAATGCATTGTCAGAGCAGTGTCAGAAGATAGCTCGGGACACATTTCTTCAGACCGGGTGCCTCAAGCTGCCATGAACAGGTGATGGTGAGTACAGAGGCGTGACAAGTTTTTTGAGGCAAACGTGACATTAAAAACTCCAAGCGAAGATTGCACCAGTTGTCCGGTTGAGGTTCGAGCTGTGTCGTCAACACCAAAGGTCCACCAGGGATGCAGGATGTGAAATTGGACGAACTCATGATGGTTGCCGAACAGAAGCAAGTGGATCAGAGATGACCGTCCTGGGCGTGATGGGGAGGAAACAGACTTCCATTCTTATAGCAAAGCCCCCTTTTCAAGAATGCTGGCAGACCTGTTCCCAGACTTTAGCCTTAAAGGGGAAGTCAAGTCAAAAATGTTCTTGAGAATACAATGTTCTATACGCCCCCAGTAGTCTAAACATGGCATTCCAATTAATATTGCATTCGTGGAATATGAATTGAGCAGAAAAATCCAAACTTTTTTTTTGTCCATCTCAGATCATGAGTCCAAAGACCGGGGAGGTGGTTTGGAGTCAGGTGATGAAATGCTCAGTGATCCATGGTTCGCAGGAGGGTGAAACTCACACTTGGTTGTCATAGCAAAACAGCAAACCGCCACGGGGACAGGCAAACAAGCTAAGGCAGAACTCATAGTCTGCTAGGGCAGACTATGAGTTCTGCCTGAGAGAATATCGAGGCGGGGAGGTCAAGGGTCGGCAACAGAAGATCAATCCATTGGAAGCCGCTGGAGCATCTTGCATCAGCCCGTGTTGAACAATCTGGCAATGAGAGAGTAAGAATCAGAGCCTTCAATTAAGTGGGCGTGGCTAATTGGCAGAGCAGAGAGGATGCAACATTGACTAATGGCGGGGAATTATGTCAAAGCCAGGTACATGTGCACCTTCTCAGAAGAGGAGCGGGTTGTCCAAGACTGCATATCCTGAAGCTACACCCCCATCCAAGTATTCTGAACTTTTCGTCCTCATAAGATAGCCCACACAATCGTTCATCAGCATGTCTTTACCCTGCCTGGACAAAAATGGCATGTGAGGATTCCATGATAAACCTTTTGTTGTCTTTCTTTTAATCTCCTCGCCCAAAGTGAAACAAATATTCTAAGATTCCAAAATTGTAACAATCAACAGTGACTGCTTACCTGACATAGGCTCCGAAGAAGCCCAGTTCACTTAGGCAAGAACTTATTTTGAGGGGCTTGCCTCTTCCGAGCAGGCAGTTGCGTGTAGGCACGGGCTGGATCTTATCCATCAATATGTAGGCCATTCGCTCCGCACTGCTCTTCACTTTGCCAAGGACCTCACAGATCTCTTGTCCGTAAATGTTGTTTCCTCAAATTAAAGAAATGTGATTGTGTTTTTGTTTTAATTGAGCAAGTTCAATTTTAGCGATCCATAAAAAATATCAGTACGAACCCTAACTCATGAAATTTTGTCCTGGTAAAGGCACAGGTTGAGCAGAGTAGAAAATGGACAGATGTTGTGCTCCATGATGAAAGGAATGATTTTATTTCTTGGACTGTACCTCCTCCTTCTCGCTGAGGCTTCAGAACAAACCGATCTGGTGTCGCCAAAGCCATCGCTACTGTTTCATCACCTTCTGCTCCCTTTAGTTAAAAAAATAAAAAAGAAGAGCTTTCCAACATTCACATGAATGCCCTGTAAAAAAACTGCCTCCAAAAATGTGTTTGCATTGCACATACAGATGACGTCCAAACATTGTTAAAAAATGGTTGGCTGTCAAAATGGTTGTTGAAAATAATTGTGTAAATGGCCCCTGAGGTGCACAATCAGTTTGTAGACAAAATTTTTTGGTCTCATCTCCTATGGAGGATGTTTCAAAATGCACTATAATTACGTCTCTCCTCTTATCACATGCACACAAAAGCTGCAACACACCAAAGCGGTGCCTCCAAAAAATGTGTTTGCATTGCACGTACAGATGACGTCCAAATAGTTTTGAGCACTCCCCTCTATGGCCATGCATTTCGAGTTTGGCATTTGAGGCTTTCCTGTGATTATGGACGATATAAATAAATTTGACTTGACAATGCACTGTCTTTGCCATGTTGCACAAACACTGAATAAAATGTTTAAAAAAAATGTTGCTCACCATGTCTAGAGTGTAGAGGCCAGCAAAGGTGGCCCTCACTTGCTCCACTACTTGCGGCTGATCGGGGAAGAAATGCTCCAGAACACCGGGCTTAGCAAGCACCTGCTGCACCTTCTTTGTTCCAGCCAGGTGGGTGCTGATATCCGGACACTTCACGGCCAAAGAGCACTCCATCATCAGGCGGGCATCCCAGGCCTAGAAACAAAGAAATGCAGCTGGTAAAAATGAAACTTGTGTGGTTTATCTTTATGATCATGATGAGAAAATGACTTCAGGTTTACTTCACTTTGGGATGCAAACTCCACACAGTGAGGCCGGAGCCGGAATCCAACCGGTATTCTTACAGAGAGTGATAATCCTGCTACGTTAAAACTATGTGAAAAAAAGTGATTAAATGCATGATGTTGTCGTATTTACAGAATAAATGAAAGACAATGACATCCACCATACATAACGGCAGAGTGCAGAATCTGCCTGGATCTTGATCAAATTCACCAAAATCTCATTACGCGACATGCACCACAACTTAGACCGGTTTCATTCAAGAATTCTGCAAAATGCATGCCTGAGGGTAGTATTTGAGACAAGAGTCAACTCATTAGCAAATGGCCGACTTAACTTATTATCATCTGCATATCCTGAAGCTACACCCCCATCCAAGTATTCTGAACTTTTCGTCCTCATAAGATAGCCCACACAATCGTTCATCAGCATGTCTTTACCCTGCCTGGACAAAAATGGCATGTGAGGATTCCATGATAAACCTTTTGTTGTCTTTCTTTTCATCTCCTCGCCCAATGTGAAACAAATATTCTAAGATTCCAAAATTGTAACAATCAACAGTGACTGCTTACCTGACATAGGCTCCGAAGAAGCCCAGCTCACTTAGGCAAGAACTTATTTTGAGGGGCTTGCCTCTTCTGAGCAGGCAGTTGCGTGTAGGCACAGGCTGGATCTTATCCATCAATATGTAGGCCATTCGCTCCGCACTGCTCTTCACTTTGCCAAGGACCTCACAGATCTCTTGTCCGTAAATGTTGTTTCCTCAAATTAAAGAAATGTGATTGTGTTTTTGTTTTAATTGAGCAAGTTCAATTTTAGCGATCCATAAAAAATATCAGTACGAACCCTAACTCATGAAATTTTGTCCTGGTAAAGGCACAGGTTGAGCAGAGTAGAAAATGGACAGATGTTGTGCTCCATGATGAAAGGAATGATTTTATTTCTTGGACTGTACCTCCTCCCTCTCGCTGAGGCTTCAGAACAAACCGATCCGGTGTCGCCAAAGCCATCGCTACTGTTTCATCACCTTCTGCTCCCTTTAGTTAAAAAAATAAAAAAGAAGAGCTTTCCAACATTCACATGAATGCCCTGTAAAAAAACTGCCTCCAAAAATGTGTTTGCATTGCACATACAGATGACGTCCAAACATTGTTAAAAAATGGTTGGCTGTCAAAATGGTTGTTGAAAATAATTGTGTAAATGGCCCCTGAGGTGCACAATCAGTTTGTAGACAAAATTTTTTGGTCTCATCTCCTATGGAGGATGTTTCAAAATGCACTATAATTACGTCTCTCCTCTTATCACATGCACACAAAAGCTGCAACACACCAAAGCGGTGCCTCCAAAAAATGTGTTTGCATTGCACGTACAGATGACGTCCAAATAGTTTTGAGCACTCCCCTCTATGGCCATGCATTTCGAGTTTGGCATTTGAGGCTTTCCTGTGATTATGGACGATATAAATAAATTTGACTTGACAATGCACTGTCTTTGCCATGTTGCACAAACACTGAATAAAATGTTTAAAAAAAATGTTGCTCACCATGTCTAGAGTGTAGAGGCCAGCAAAGGTGGCCCTCACTTGCTCCACTACTTGCGGCTGATCGGGGAAGAAATGCTCCAGAACACCGGGCTTAGCAAGCACCTGCTGCACCTTCTTTGTTCCAGCCAGGTGGGTGCTGATATCCGGACACTTCACGGCCAAAGAGCACTCCATCATCAGGCGGGCATCCCAGGCCTAGAAACAAAGAAATGCAGCTGGTAAAAATGAAACTTGTGTGGTTTATCTTTATGATCATGATGAGAAAATGACTTCAGGTTTACTTCACTTTGGGATGCAAACTCCACACAGTGAGGCCGGAGCCGGAATCCAACCGGTATTCTTACAGAGAGTGATAATCCTGCTACGTTAAAACTATGTGAAAAAAAGTGATTAAATGCATGATGTTGTCGTATTTACAGAATAAATGAAAGACAATGACATCCACCATACATAACGGCAGAGTGCAGAATCTGCCTGGATCTTGATCAAATTCACCAAAATCTCATTACGCGACATGCACCACAACTTAGACCGGTTTCATTCAAGAATTCTGCAAAATGCATGCCTGAGGGTAGTATTTGAGACAAGAGTCAACTCATTAGCAAATGGCCGACTTAACTTATTATCATCAAATGATTATTAATTTTATAAATACATGACCCTAGTTTCAAAAAATGTTGCATCTCGGGTCAAGATTTTTTTTCGAAGGCTGATGGATTATGATTTGCGCGCTCCCTTGGCCTGAGGCCGTTCTAAATTTGTTTGCAGAATAGGCACACATTCAAGAATGAAGATATTGATGAATCAACCGCACACACAAACTAGTGCACGTGCACTTTTAGAGAATGCGGCTCATTGCGAGTGGAGGCTTCCGGAAACATTTCCTTTCTTGTGTTAAAAGTTCATCATGATACCCACGTCTGATTAAAAGCTGTTGTGGTTTACCTTCAAGTAATTACCTTTTCAGACTTGTAGTGCCGGGGCATATACCCATTCCTGAAGTACACGACTGCAACTTCTTGACAATCACTGAATTTGTGGTAGGACGGAAATGTATCAAAACAAGCAAAAACACAGTCGACACAGATCTTCATGTTGGCTTTGAATGGACGGAAGACACTTACACAAACAGTCTCTTATCCTTGTCAAGGTTTCCAGATGCTGAGACATCCTCAAAACGCATTCGTATGGTGGCAATATTCCTGGAACACATTGACGATTGTGAGATTATCACTAAATGAAAAATGGTCTTTGAGCCAAGAATGCATTTTGCAGCAAAGGTTTCAAGGTTTCATTCATTTCATTTCACCAAGGTTATGCAAGATACTGTGAAAGTCTTAAGTCATCACACTTTACCCTTTCAACAGCTCATTCTCGACTATCCGTTGATCCAAGATATTGATCTGATTCTCCTCCACCAGGAACATGACAACCGCTCTTTCAGGACAAGAGGGCTCCTGTTAAACACTATGCCACTAGAGTACATAAATACATTCTACATGAGGAATGTGGTTCATAAATGTAAAAAATAGCTACCTCTGGAAAGACCACTAGATATGATGAGAAATTAAGTATTCTTTATAAATGTTTGTGTGGTTCTGTTCGTAACCAACAGGTGGCACTGTAGGGCTATTCCTGCAGTGGCACACCTGTTGGTCATTGTGTCATCAGTTACTGTTTTGTTCAAAGGACTCCCTGCCCGACCAGTCGGTGTCGGTTTATTGTTTGTATCTCACTGTAACCGCGTTGTGTTTGTATTTTTGTGAAACACATTTTGTTAAGTCCACCCTGCTCCTCTCATGTCTCCCTACTTTTTGGGATCCTCTATCTACCACCTCGCAAATGTGTCAATAAAAGCTTTTATTCGACAATGAAGTGTTGTTTAAGAAGGTTTTGAGTGGACTTACTGCCTTGATCCATAGAGCTTCCAGGCCTTGGCCAGAGCCTTGGCCAGACCTACCGGAGGGTTGTTATCAATGATGCGCTGGCTCTCTTCCAGTTGGCCAGCGACCTTAAGAATGTGTCTGTTTTAGCAACACAAACAAAATTGTTGTCAACATGAACAAACATTTCAAGAAGAAGGTCAGTATTAGAAATGGTGTGCAAATTTAGAGGTCAAACACAACTTGGGTTTTGAAATTGTTTTGAGACTCTGTTCCAGGGTCAAACTATCATTTTTAAAGCAACATTTTAACTGATTGACCACTCAAAATTTTCCCTAGGTGTGAGTGTGTGATGCAAACTCCACACAGTGAGGCCGGAGCCGGAATCCAACCGGTATTCTTACAGAGAGTGATAATCCTGCTACGTTAAAACTATGTGAAAAAAAGTGATTAAATGCATGATGTTGTCGTATTTACAGAATAAATGAAAGACAATGACATCCACCATACATAACGGCAGAGTGCAGAATCTGCCTGGATCTTGATCAAATTCACCAAAATCTCATTACGCGACATGCACCACAACTTAGACCGGTTTCATTCAAGAATTCTGCAAAATGCATGCCTGAGGGTAGTATTTGAGACAAGAGTCAACTCATTAGCAAATGGCCGACTTAACTTATTATCATCAAATGATTATTAATTTTATAAATACATGACCCTAGTTTCAAAAAATGTTGCATCTCGGGTCAAGATTTTTTTTCGAAGGCTGATGGATTATGATTTGCGCGCTCCCTTGGCCTGAGGCCGTTCTAAATTTGTTTGCAGAATAGGCACACATTCAAGAATGAAGATATTGATGAATCAACCGCACACACAAACTAGTGCACGTGCACTTTTAGAGAATGCGGCTCATTGCGAGTGGAGGCTTCCGGAAACATTTCCTTTCTTGTGTTAAAAGTTCATCATGATACCCACGTCTGATTAAAAGCTGTTGTGGTTTACCTTCAAGTAATTACCTTTTCAGACTTGTAGTGCCGGGGCATATACCCATTCCTGAAGTACACGACTGCAACTTCTTGACAATCACTGAATTTGTGGTAGGACGGAAATGTATCAAAACAAGCAAAAACACAGTCGACACAGATCTTCATGTTGGCTTTGAATGGACGGAAGACACTTACACAAACAGTCTCTTATCCTTGTCAAGGTTTCCAGATGCTGAGACATCAACATTGGCTAATGACGGCGAATTGTGTCAAAGCCAGGTACATGTGCACCTTCTCAGAAGAGGAGCGGGTTGTCCAAGACTGCATATCCTGAAGCTACACCCCCATCCAAGTATTCTGAACTTTTCGTCCTCATAAGATAGCCCACACAATCGTTCATCAGCATGTCTTTACCCTGCCTGGACAAAAATGGCATGTGAGGATTCCATGATAAACCTTTTGTTGTCTTTCTTTTCATCTCCTCGCCCAATGTGAAACAAATATTCTAAGATTCCAAAATTGTAACAATCAACAGTGACTGCTTACCTGACATAGGCTCCGAAGAAGCCCAGCTCACTTAGGCAAGAACTTATTTTGAGGGGCTTGCCTCTTCTGAGCAGGCAGTTGCGTGTAGGCACAGGCTGGATCTTATCCATCAATATGTAGGCCATTCGCTCCGCACTGCTCTTCACTTTGCCAAGGACCTCACAGATCTCTTGTCCGTAAATGTTGTTTCCTCAAATTAAAGAAATGTGATTGTGTTTTTGTTTTAATTGAGCAAGTTCAATTTTAGCGATCCATAAAAAATATCAGTACGAACCCTAACTCATGAAATTTTGTCCTGGTAAAGGCACAGGTTGAGCAGAGTAGAAAATGGACAGATGTTGTGCTCCATGATGAAAGGAATGATTTTATTTCTTGGACTGTACCTCCTCCCTCTCGCTGAGGCTTCAGAACAAACCGATCCGGTGTCGCCAAAGCCATCGCTACTGTTTCATCACCTTCTGCTCCCTTTAGTTAAAAAAATAAAAAAGAAGAGCTTTCCAACATTCACATGAATGCCCTGTAAAAAAACTGCCTCCAAAAATGTGTTTGCATTGCACATACAGATGACGTCCAAACATTGTTAAAAAATGGTTGGCTGTCAAAATGGTTGTTGAAAATAATTGTGTAAATGGCCCCTGAGGTGCACAATCAGTTTGTAGACAAAATTTTTTGGTCTCATCTCCTATGGAGGATGTTTCAAAATGCACTATAATTACGTCTCTCCTCTTATCACATGCACACAAAAGCTGCAACACACCAAAGCGGTGCCTCCAAAAAATGTGTTTGCATTGCACGTACAGATGACGTCCAAATAGTTTTGAGCACTCCCCTCTATGGCCATGCATTTCGAGTTTGGCATTTGAGGCTTTCCTGTGATTATGGACGATATAAATAAATTTGACTTGACAATGCACTGTCTTTGCCATGTTGCACAAACACTGAATAAAATGTTTAAAAAAAATGTTGCTCACCATGTCTAGAGTGTAGAGGCCAGCAAAGGTGGCCCTCACTTGCTCCACTACTTGCGGCTGATCGGGGAAGAAATGCTCCAGAACACCGGGCTTAGCAAGCACCTGCTGCACCTTCTTTGTTCCAGCCAGGTGGGTGCTGATATCCGGACACTTCACGGCCAAAGAGCACTCCATCATCAGGCGGGCATCCCAGGCCTAGAAACAAAGAAATGCAGCTGGTAAAAATGAAACTTGTGTGGTTTATCTTTATGATCATGATGAGAAAATGACTTCAGGTTTACTTCACTTTGGGATGCAAACTCCACACAGTGAGGCCGGAGCCGGAATCCAACCGGTATTCTTACAGAGAGTGATAATCCTGCTACGTTAAAACTATGTGAAAAAAAGTGATTAAATGCATGATGTTGTCGTATTTACAGAATAAATGAAAGACAATGACATCCACCATACATAACGGCAGAGTGCAGAATCTGCCTGGATCTTGATCAAATTCACCAAAATCTCATTACGCGACATGCACCACAACTTAGACCGGTTTCATTCAAGAATTCTGCAAAATGCATGCCTGAGGGTAGTATTTGAGACAAGAGTCAACTCATTAGCAAATGGCCGACTTAACTTATTATCATCAAATGATTATTAATTTTATAAATACATGACCCTAGTTTCAAAAAATGTTGCATCTCGGGTCAAGATTTTTTTTCGAAGGCTGATGGATTATGATTTGCGCGCTCCCTTGGCCTGAGGCCGTTCTAAATTTGTTTGCAGAATAGGCACACATTCAAGAATGAAGATATTGATGAATCAACCGCACACACAAACTAGTGCACGTGCACTTTTAGAGAATGCGGCTCATTGCGAGTGGAGGCTTCCGGAAACATTTCCTTTCTTGTGTTAAAAGTTCATCATGATACCCACGTCTGATTAAAAGCTGTTGTGGTTTACCTTCAAGTAATTACCTTTTCAGACTTGTAGTGCCGGGGCATATACCCATTCCTGAAGTACACGACTGCAACTTCTTGACAATCACTGAATTTGTGGTAGGACGGAAATGTATCAAAACAAGCAAAAACACAGTCGACACAGATCTTCATGTTGGCTTTGAATGGACGGAAGACACTTACACAAACAGTCTCTTATCCTTGTCAAGGTTTCCAGATGCTGAGACATCCTCAAAACGCATTCGTATGGTGGCAATATTCCTGGAACACATTGACGATTGTGAGATTATCACTAAATGAAAAATGGTCTTTGAGCCAAGAATGCATTTTGCAGCAAAGGTTTCAAGGTTTCATTCATTTCATTTCACCAAGGTTATGCAAGATACTGTGAAAGTCTTAAGTCATCACACTTTACCCTTTCAACAGCTCATTCTCGACTATCCGTTGATCCAAGATATTGATCTGATTCTCCTCCACCAGGAACATGACAACCGCTCTTTCAGGACAAGAGGGCTCCTGTTAAACACTATGCCACTAGAGTACATAAATACATTCTACATGAGGAATGTGGTTCATAAATGTAAAAAATAGCTACCTCTGGAAAGACCACTAGATATGATGAGAAATTAAGTATTCTTTATAAATGTTTGTGTGGTTCTGTTCGTAACCAACAGGTGGCACTGTAGGGCTATTCCTGCAGTGGCACACCTGTTGGTCATTGTGTCATCAGTTACTGTTTTGTTCAAAGGACTCCCTGCCCGACCAGTCGGTGTCGGTTTATTGTTTGTATCTCACTGTAACCGCGTTGTGTTTGTATTTTTGTGAAACACATTTTGTTAAGTCCACCCTGCTCCTCTCATGTCTCCCTACTTTTTGGGATCCTCTATCTACCACCTCGCAAATGTGTCAATAAAAGCTTTTATTCGACAATGAAGTGTTGTTTAAGAAGGTTTTGAGTGGACTTACTGCCTTGATCCATAGAGCTTCCAGGCCTTGGCCAGAGCCTTGGCCAGACCTACCGGAGGGTTGGTATCAATGATGCATGCGCTGGCTCTCTTCCAGTTGGCCAGCGACCTTAAGAATGTGTCTGTTTTAGCAACACAAACAAAATTGTTGTCAACATGAACAAACATTTCAAGAAGAAGGTCAGTATTAGAAATGGTGTGCAAATTTAGAGGTCAAACACAACTTGGGTTTTGAAATTGTTTTGAGACTCTGTTCCAGGGTCAAACTATCATTTTTAAAGCAACATTTTAACTGATTGACCACTCAAAATTTTCCCTAGGTGTGAGTGTGTGTGTCTCTGTGTGCCCTGCGACTGGCTGGCAACCGGTTCAGGGTGTTCCCCGCCTACTGCCCGAAGACGGCTGGGATAGGCTCCAGCACGCCCAGCGACCCTTGTGAGGATAAAGCGGAGCAGGAAATGGAAGAATGTTGACAACTACTTTGTACATTACCGGTGTACATCAGGCATGCGTGCGGCGACACCTCCAGCAGCAGCAGCAAAGGTGTTGATTTCGATCTGTTTCAGAGAGGTGTGTCCATCCTTCTGTTCCCACATGTAGTCTGATCGATTTAAACCCAACACAATTGACTGGAAAGAGGGCAAAGAATACAACATGAGAGATGGATACTTTAATGAAGACATTAAGACATTGTCGTCATTGTGACCTCTAAAATGAAGCTTGTTTGTCATATTTTATATACACATACACCAAACTAGTGCACGTGCACTTTTAGAGAATGCGGCTCATTGCGAGTGGAGGCTTCCGGAAACATTTCCTTTCTTGTGTTAAAAGTTCATCATGATACCCACGTCTGATTAAAAGCTGTTGTGGTTTACCTTCAAGTAATTACCTTTTCAGACTTGTAGTGCCGGGGCATATACCCATTCCTGAAGTACACGACTGCAACTTCTTGACAATCACTGAATTTGTGGTAGGACGGAAATGTATCAAAACAAGCAAAAACACAGTCGACACAGATCTTCATGTTGGCTTTGAATGGACGGAAGACACTTACACAAACAGTCTCTTATCCTTGTCAAGGTTTCCAGATGCTGAGACATCCTCAAAACGCATTCGTATGGTGGCAATATTCCTGGAACACATTGACGATTGTGAGATTATCACTAAATGAAAAATGGTCTTTGAGCCAAGAATGCATTTTGCAGCAAAGGTTTCAAGGTTTCATTCATTTCATTTCACCAAGGTTATGCAAGATACTGTGAAAGTCTTAAGTCATCACACTTTACCCTTTCAACAGCTCATTCTCGACTATCCGTTGATCCAAGATATTGATCTGATTCTCCTCCACCAGGAACATGACAACCGCTCTTTCAGGACAAGAGGGCTCCTGTTAAACACTATGCCACTAGAGTACATAAATACATTCTACATGAGGAATGTGGTTCATAAATGTAAAAAATAGCTACCTCTGGAAAGACCACTAGATATGATGAGAAATTAAGTATTCTTTATAAATGTTTGTGTGGTTCTGTTCGTAACCAACAGGTGGCACTGTAGGGCCTATTCCTGTAGTGGCATAAGTGTTGGTCATTGTGTCATCAGTTACTGTTTTGTTCAAAGGACTCCCTGCCCGACCAGTCGGTGTCGGTTTATTGTTTGTATCTCACTGTAACCGCGTTGTGTTTGTATTTTTGTGAAACACATTTTGTTAAGTCCACCCTGCTCCTCTCATGTCTCCCTACTTTTTGGGATCCTCTATCTACCACCTCGCAAATGTGTCAATAAAAGCTTTTATTCGACAATGAAGTGTTGTTTA